TCTCATCTGTTCTCATTTTATTTCTATATTTCATTCTTTATTATGCCTGTTATCATTATTATATCATCAAAGTCGAAGTCCTTTCGTTAAGTTGAATTGAAAGGTAGGTAAGTCGAATTGAAAGCTAGGTTTTGTCAGTGATTAAATGGAAAGGGGGAGCAGTTCGGGCCTACTCTTGAACTTTTAGGCTAATTAAAAGCCAAAACAAAGGCCACAGAATGTAATTGAGAAAGATGGGATTCGGTCAACAAACAAAGGAAATTAAAACACTCCCTTATTTCTGTCGACAATGTAGAATAAAAATTAACTTATTGTTGTGACAGGGTAGTGAGACCCGTACATGCTGCCCTACTGGTGATTGGGATTAGCCTGATGCTGTTGGTCTCATTTTGTGGCCTCATATTGTCACTATAAGGATAAGAATTTTGCATGTTCAATGGAAATGATGGGGATTCTATCCATTGTAATTATTTTATGTGTGGGGTGAAAGTAATAGATGCCATGGATTCCACTTTAGCAATTGATTGGACTCGTACCATGGTTCGTTTAGGTGTTAATTCTTTAGTTTGCAAACACAAGAATCATATTTCCTTTTCTTACTGGTAAAATCACCTTAACTCTATAATTAGACTAACAAGGATATAATTGCGCAAATTATATCTGCTAGCATTGCTGGTGATATGATTCTTGCAGCTGCTTATGCCCATGAACTTCCTTGTTATGGGCTAGAAGTTGGTCTCACAAACTATGCTGCAGGTATTTATGCTCTCTAGATCAACTTATTTGAATTTCTTGCTCAGATCCTGTAGGTGGATATATTTTGACTGCACTACCTTGAGCCCAGCTTATTGTACTGGACTTCTCTTGGCTCGCCGAGTTCTAAAGGTGCTCGAGATGGATGACGAGTATGAGGGAAATGTTGAGGTACCTGGCATTGTCAAGGGTTAATTGATGTATTTCCATTTAAACTCCTTTCTGGGGGAATATTTAACATTGAAAACTTATCCTTAAAGGCTACTGGGGAGGATTTCTCTGTTGAACCAACCGAAAACAGGAGGCCTTTCCGTGCTCTTCTCGATGTTGGTCTTGTACGAACAACCACTGGCAATCGTGTTTTTGGTGCCCTCAAGGTATCTTTCTACCCCTACACTTAAAAACTGTATTGAAATTTAAGAAACATACCTAATGGAACTGCTGGCATCTTACATTTTTTTTACATCTTTTCAGCCACTTATTTTATCGTTTCAAAAAGTTTGTTAGATTATTTTTCCTGTATTTAACTATTCATTTCTAATGATTTCTTTGCAGTTGTCCATCCTGTTTTGTCATATACATATGGCTGTGTTTGTTGTGTTTAAATATGGATGGTCATATAGTAATATCCAATGGATTTGTACCTATACAATTTGAAGCAGAATGTTCTTGGATGAAAGTATTGTTATGATAAGTACGTTTTGCAGAACTGCAAGGAGGATTATAGAAGTTCATTCATAAGAAATTAAAAGAGGACTTACTGGACAGTTAGGTGTCTGTTACTCAAATTTTAAGTAAACTTTTGAAATCTGATCAAAAGCTCTTTTTAATGAGGAAGTCTAGGCATGCAAAATACTAATGTCCTTTGTAGTTACTAGCTTCAATTTTAGTATAGACACACAAGCATGCCAAGTGTTAACCCAGAGAACTAAGAGAAGATTTGGAAACTCGTGTTGGGCTATTTGAACTCAAGGAAATCTATGTTAAATTGTGAACCCCCCGCCCAACAAAAAAAAAACTCTTTCGACCTGTAAATTTTAGTGGTTTTATGTCCTAAAGTAGAATTACTTAGTGGTACATTTGGGCTCATGCTGATGTTTAACAGATGCCTTCGTAACCTTTCTAACTCTCAACTTTTGTGGAATAGTGAGTGAGAACCTTGCAGCTGTAAGTTGACAATGTAGCCATGCAATATTAAAGCTTGTTTTTTCATTCCTGATTGGGTTACAAATGTCAGACCTTGGAAGTTGGAACTGATTAAAAGTGTGGTTGTTTAGTTGGTGGCACATCCAGTTTTTTGTGCGTTCTTGTATAAAAGATTAGAACATTGCTTTAAGTCACTGTATGATCCATTTGCAGCTGAAGAACTCCTGTATATGAGCTTCAGGTCTATTGCTTCTGTTTTCTTCTGGAAATACTTTGGTTTTTAGATGTATTTCTAAAGCATTGGATTTGTTTGTTTCTTGTTGATTACAGGGAGCATTAGATGGTGGGCTTGACATTCCTCACTCTGACAAGAGGTTTGCTGGATTTAGCAAGGAAAGTAAGCAACTTGATGCTGAGGTTCATCACAAATACGTCTATGGAGGCCATGTTGCGGCATACATGAGAGTGAGTGTTGATTCTTATGTTGCTGGACACACTATAAATTTGTTGATAAAATGCAAAATGAATTTCCCTTCTTTTGCCTTTTACTTCCCCCCACCTCCGCCCCAACACCAAAAAAGAATCTCCCAAGAAAAAAATAACCACCACCACAAAAACTCCAAACAAAAAAAGTGCAGAGAGTATTTTTTTATGCTTGCACTTACTAAATTTTCTTTGCTAAGTGCAGACTTTGATGGAAGATGAACCGGAGAAGTACCAGTCTCATTTTAGTGGGAGCATCAAGAGAGAGATAGAGGCAGATGGCCTTGAGGAGATGTACAAAAAGGTCCATGCAGCTATCCGTGCTGACCCCCTCCCAAAGAAATCTGAGAAGCAGCCTCCAAAAGAGCACAAGAGGTACGGCCAAATCTTAAGAAAATAGAATTACTATTGCCACTAATTCTTATTTCAGAATTCAATTTGAGCTTATTAAGACCATCATGACAAAAAATGTTGCTAGTTGTGCTTAAAGCCTTAAGCCTCAGGTGTGGTGAACCTTAAAACATAATTTAACTTCATAAGGATTTGAGAAATGTACCTACTCTATTTCCTGGAGTTGTTTCTCTTTTACTGCCACTATTGGATTGTCTCATGCATGGTCATCACTTTGTTTTCACAATGCTGCCCACTGGATAACTTGCCATTACCAATCAGCTAAAATGGGTGAATGGCTCACAAATATACTGTACTTCATGATTAACAAGAGTTGATTTTTTGAGGTCGTCAATGAATTTGGCTTTGGCAATGATAATTAATCTGGGCAGAAGGAAGAAACACTGGCTTAAATATTCCCATAATTTGTTGTTTTAGTTGGCTATGATCATATAGTTTGTCTGTACGCAATGCATTCTGGTTGATGATTGGATGATTATTTCATACTGTAATGACTGCCTTCATTTCTTTACTGCAGGTACAACCTAAAGAAGCTAACTTACGAGCAAAGGAAAGCCAGTTTGATAGAGAGGTTAAATGCTCTCAATGCTGCTGGTGGAAGTGATGATGAGGAGGAGGAGGAAGACGATGAATGAGTGAGCACTGCTGTTTGCATACTGTTTTTTATTTTAGATTACAACCTCATTTTTGCATGTTTAGTGAAGGAGAACTAGTGTGTAAGAACAAAATAGGTGCGGTGCAGTTGTTTTAACATCAACTTTGTGCAATTCTTTCTTTTTTGATTTATGACCTCACTAGAATTTCAGTTCTTAGATGATTTTGACATTGCCAGCAGAGCTGCAATTTGCGTCATGTTAAACTGGGCTGCTGTCTGTGGCGTTCTTTTTGGTATGTGGATGATTTGCTTGACATTCTTGATCTGCATGCGGCTCTGCCCTTGTATTTTGCAGCCATTTTATCCAACTATAATGTGATCCATCGACTTAATTATCCAGTCATTACCACTCATTGTGGTGCATATCTGTTGCGATGGACGATGATTTTTAGTGATATGGTATTTTTGCTTTTTGATTCTTATGAATTTGTAAACTAGAGTTGTTGAATATTCTTTATCACTACAGAAGGAAACTGATGTATGTGATGTTGTTTGGCCATGCGCCAGTGCTATAATATTCAATTGTTCATCGTTTACAATATGATAAATGGCAGAATAATAAGCTCTTTGACCCTGAAGTATTGAAGTAGACCAAAGCTATCTATCTCATTCTTCAAGGAAGTTGTGGATTGGACATACGGAAAAGAGATGGTATTTGTGTAGACAGAACGGAAGCAAATGCAAGTTAGCTCACTCGTCCTCTAACCTCCCAATCTGTTTTTCCTTTAGTCCCTGACCGGTGTGAAAGGAAGAATGGTCCCCGTGCTATGCTTTCAATCTTTCTGTCGTTGGTTGATTGGGCTGTTGGGAAAGGCTTGGGGCCGATCTATACGATGCAAGACATCCTTGTATAATATAAGTAGTTCTTGACTAAAATTTAGATAACTCATAATTAACATTGTGTAATTTGAATTTCTGACCCAAATTTGAGTAAAAATTTAATAAAAAGTTATGCAATTTTTTTTTTACTCATATTTAAGTACTACATAACAATTTATAATAAAAATCATTAGCGATCTAAATGCTATATGCTTGAAAGATTATAGAGAAACATATTCAATATTTTAGGAATTAAAATGACGCAATTAAAATTTTGAAAACCAAAATAAGACAAATCTCAAACTTCAAGGTCCTTCAATGCAATTAACCCTAAGTAGAAAGGAGAAACATATTATAAGGATTGGTTTTGACAACAATAAGATTATTCCACTACGTGACCAAAGAAGAAATGAGTAAGCGGAAGCCAAGCTGCACGCATCTGATCCTTCAAGATCAAACGGATTGCCCGGAATGAGTCTTTTAGCTGGTGTTTGCACACAATATACAAACTGTGACGTGGTTCAAACGGTGGCTGTGCAGAAGCGCTTCTTTTCAAGTCCCCATCTTGATCTCAAACAGTGAGTGAAGGGAGGCTTTATGGGCGAGACGAAGAAAAGAAAAGGCTGGAGATGTTGACTGACTCAACCAGACCAACTATGATTAGGAGTGACAAATAAATGTCAACCCTAAACTGTCCAACCTATCGAAGGAAGAGGGTAGAAAAGGCAACCATTTTAATGTAAACTTCATTTGGCATATAGAATAGTACAATGCTAAAGCAATCCGATGAGGGTCACTGTCAAAGGATATTCACATAATGTGATCAAGCACAAACATTTTAACTCCATTGCTGAAAAAAAGGCACAAAACATTTTTATCTTTGATTCATGGGATGGCTTCCCACCCAATGGCTTTCATCTCCCGGAACACGTGGTCAAAAGTAGCCGAGAAATATGAAGCTTCTAATCATCCTCTGGATCAAAGTCCTTAACCTTCACATCTGCATCTTCTCCGTACTGAATGCTGTTGTCAATTTGTGCCAAGATATATTGTATACTGTAAAAGAAGAAAAATGTGTTACCCAATGCAGAAGTCAGTAGGGGTATGATAAATAACCAGCGATTGGGAAACCTCGCCACTTTACAATTGACCAGACATTTTTCAAGAACTTTGAAGCTAGTACCTAATATTTGTTTTTTGTCCTTTTGTAAACATACTAAATAAACCATAGAGATTAAAAAAATAGTTCTTAATAATTGCACTCCATGTTGCCAAGCTTAAGAGATCAGGATGTGGATCAGTAGTTTGTAAAGCAGGAGCAGAGGCAAATTTCTTTCCACCATACATGTGGCTCTAAAATTTGGTCTCCTTAACAGAGGTCACATAGGGCAAAAAGCCAATTTCCAAAATCCTAGTTGTGAAATATAACACTGAGCTCACACGAGATTAGAGGAGTAGTGGAGAGGGAAAGTACCTGCTCTCTTTCCTCAAGTCAAGAGGCAAGAAGCTCACCATGCTATACTGATCCACCTAGTAGAACAATAAAAATTTAGAGTCATAGACCATCCAAGCAATTATCTCCCATATGCTGACAACTTACTTGGGCACTTAAACAAATGTCCTACCAATTTATGTCCATGCACACAAAAATGTTCCTAAAACCAAAAGGTCAGGTTGTCTGGTTAATTATAAAGTCAATATAAGAGGTCCTCATCATAAAAAGTAGCAATTTTTCAACAAAATGTATCATTTCAAAATAAAATTTAATAGACACTGAAATGGGCAAGATGCTTTCCAGCACAAAGTGAAATGCTGGCTCAGTGGAGAAGCCACAGAGGTTAAAATTTTTTACAGCCCCCCCAAAAATAATAGTAATTTATGCTGAAAACTGATAATCTTGCCGGATACCATTAGCATAAGAAAACTATCAAGTTTTGAGATAACAGAAAATAGATCGAAACTCTACCATCTACAGGTATTACACCAAGCGAAGTAGAAGAACCATGCTTTGATCAAACTATGATGGTGACACCTAAGCCTCCAGATATTGACAAATATTTCCATTTCAAAAATCATATGGAAACCGATGTGTATTCAGACTCTCAGCTATTGAATAACTCACCAATCCAATAAATTATTAGTTAAGCTTTTGAAATGGCAGAGAATGCATTTGTCCAACTCTGACAGTGAAACTTGAAGCCCCAAGTTAGAACAAACATTCTATTATATAGCCATGTAAAACATTGAAGTGCATGCCAAACTTTGCTGCTTAATAGGTTAATAACTCACCAATTCAATCAAAGTTTTATTGAGCTTTTCAAATTGAGGAGCCATGCGTTGATTCAACTCAGCCAGCAAAGCTTGAGGCTCTGGATTCAAGTAACTTAGAATTAAAAAAAAAAAAAAAGGATTAGAATCTTAAAAAGTGAAAATCGTATATAGAAGTAGAAACATGTATTTAATCTAAAAGGACTCACTCTTCAATGTCCCTTTTGTTCGTCACAAGGTCCATTTTGGAAAGAATGTTAACATGTGGTAGCTCAAGTTGAACCATTGCAGAGAGAGAAGCCGTACAACCACTTATAAACTTGGTCACATCCGTCATGAACTAATATACATTCAGAGAGTAGCATTTAAGATTGAGTACAAAGATATAAACAATCAGTGATGAAATGATACTTGGTCAAAAAATACTAAACTACAAACCTGGGAATCAAGTAAATATACTGCACAAACATTGAAGTTCTTACGCTGCAAATGCCTCACAAAGTTCTTAAGCACTGGCACATGAGAGAAAAGTTCTATTTGGCCTGTAAAGTAATTGGAGGTCAAATAATTAAGAAAACTAATCTAATAACAAATTAAACATAACGAGCCTTAGACTACCACCTACATATAGCATCATGCAAAGAATAAGTTGGCATCATTCACAAGTAGGAGTTTGTGTTAGAGTATTTTATTATTAACGATAGTTTAGTCATTTTTCTTGTATTGTTTTGCCCTACTATAAAAGGGTTTCTCTTTGCATCTTTTATTAAGAACAATGTAATGCAGATTAGAGTAAAGTGATAATATTTCTTTCTTCACTTTCTCTGCTTTCATTTAGCTAAATTATCAGTGTATCAGCGCTGGTTTTGGTCCAAAATACCTTCAATATCATAGTAGTACAGTAGCAGAATCAGCAGTGGAGAAGAAGCAGTCGCTAGGGCCAACGTGAGCACGTAGGCCTGTCAACGAATCAGATTCTGACCGGAACTGGGTTCATCCCAACCCAAATCCAATTAAAAAATTCATTACTGAATCCAACCCCATTTACCCAAAGGATATAAAAATATTAGTCCACATCCGAATCCGCTTATTATAATTAGACATCCGGTTCGATTACCCAATTCAGATAAACAAATGAAAATATCAGTCCACGGATTCGGAATCAGACTGAAATCCGTCCATTGACAGCCATATCAACTGGCGACAATGATGACCTGATGCTGACGTCATCATTCTGGAGCAAAGGAACACACTACCAAACTCAATTTTGCACAGGCAATCTCATGGTATACTTGATTTTTGATTTCGTGGCCACTGGATTGGATTTTCAATTTTTGAATGTATTTCAAAATTTCGGACCTATTTTTTGATCTAGAATTTTGGGCTGATTTCTCCAAATTTTTTTGCTTCAAATCAAGTCTAAAGGGTGCGATTTGGAGTTTTGGATAGCTGGTTGTGTGATTCGAAGACATTTGGTTGGATTTTGGCACCTCTGGACTGTTGGCCAACTATTCTTGCTGTGAAAAATGGCTGAAATTCTTCTCTTTGTCTCATTTGGTTATATTCTGATATAATACACCTTGATTTACCTTGGTTATGTGATTTGAAGGCATTGCGTTGGATTTTGGTTGAACTTTTGCCCCTTGGGGACTGTCGGCCAACTGTTCTTGCTGTGAACAGTGGTCAAGAATCCTCCTCTTTGCTTCTGTTGATCATATTCTGATATAATTCATGCTGGATTTGTACTGCTGAATTTGAATTTGCAAGGTTCGAATTTGCTGATTGGGGTCTCAAATCTACTTTTTTTTTTAGTTGGGCTTTGCTTTGGGTTGCTTTCATTTGTTGGGCTTTGCTTCACGTTGTTTGGGTTGTTCTTACTTTGGGCTATTTCTTGGAGGCTGTCTGTGATTAGTGTGTTGTTTGTTGGGCTTTGCCTTGGGCTGGTTGCATTTATTGGGCTTTGCTTCAAGCTATTTGGATTGTTCTTACTGTCGGGTATTTACTGGAGGTTGTTGATAATTAGCTAGGTCTTAGACTTCTTGCTGGTTTGGATTCCCCTTCGTGTTATAATAGGAAATGGAAACTTTGATTCTCTTCAGCCCTTCATGTGAAATTAACTCCCACTTTGATTATGATCGCTGATAAAATTGCAAAAGCTTCTTTCATTCCAACATCCCAACACTAATTCGGTTTCTCCTTCACTAGCTTCATTCACTCCGGGTCCTTCAAGTATACCTTGAACCGCCTGGGTCTTTGACTCAGGTGCTACACATCACATGACTAGTGACTCTTCTTTATTTGCATCTACTTTCTCTCCTCCATCTATCTATGTACTTACAACAACCAATGGTAATCAAATGTCATTGGTTGCTGTTGGAGCTATTATCTCTCCTCACCTCACGCTTCTAGATGTCTATTATATTTCTCAACTTACTCTAAATTTAATTTCAGTTAGTCAACTATTCGATTCTAATTTTTTAGTTCACTTTTCTTCTTCTGTTTGTGTTGTGCAGGATTCACGTTCCAATTGGAATAGGCAGTAGAAAAGGAGGCTATATGTATTGGACGAACTACACGCTCCAAATATTGCTGCTTCTAGTATTGATTTCTCGTCTTTTCAAATGAGTCCAAGGCCTTCTAGTTTTATTTGTGGCATTCTCGTCTTGGTCATGTTTCTCATTCTTGTTTAAAATTTTTTTACATCTACCGATAGTTTGGGTCTGACATTTTCAGTTGTAGTGGATGCAAGTTAGCCACCCTTTAATCTTGTTTGCTTTGATGTATAGGGACTTGCTCCTATTCCCAAAAAAGAAGGTCTAGATATTTGTTTTTTTCATTGATAATTACACTAGGTATTGTTAGGTATATCTCATGAAGCGTCGTTCTAAATTTTTCTTATATTCACCGCTTTTCATGTCATGATACACACTAAATATTTCTCAGTTATTAAATGTTTTCGATGTAATCAAGGAGAAAAATATTCTTTTAATCCTTTCATGATATGTTAAAATCTAATGACACTATTTGATCAATCCTCTTGTACTAACACACCTACACAAAATGGTGTAACATAGCGCAAGCATAAACACATTATGGAGACAGCACGCTCTCTTTTGTTTTCTGTAAATGTTCTAAGTTCTTTTTAGGAGAAGCAGTTCTTAGTGCGATTCATCCTATGAAGCACGGATATTTCGTCAAGGTCGACGTACCTATATCGGATATCGTATCAAATACAATATATAATACAAAATATCAACAAAATTCCATTTAATTTTGAAGACACAAGTGTTTTCTAAGTATATCGACTATTACATGTCAAAAGAGTATAAAAAAATCATTTAATTACACAATAATCTTAAAAACAAATACTTATAAATAAACCAACTAGTCAAATATTAGTTCTAATTCTTTGAATTGGTCACGTTCACTTTATGGATATATCAAAATAAAATGATATTACATATTTGTCAAGGTGGAAACTAATAATTTTGCTTACTATTGCTAAATTATTATTAAAAATTACAATTGTTAAGTTGTTAAATAATATTAAAATATAAAATATATTTTATTATAAATATATCTTAGTCGTATCTATACCTTGTTTTTTCAAGTTTTGTTGTATCGTCATATCTGTATTGTATCGTACCATTATCATGTATCCATGTTTCCTAGGGTTTATCTGATTAATTGCATTCCCACTATTCTCACCTCTAGACTCTCCCCTTTGAAAAAATATATGGTAAACCACTAATTATTTCTCTTTACGTGTGTTTGGATGTGTATGTTTTGTCTTCCTTCCTAGTGTTCTTCGTACTAAACTTTCTATTTGTTTAACTTTGTGTTTTTCTTGGTGATAGTGAAAGCCAGAAAGGGTATCAATGCTATAATCCTATTACACACAAACTCTATGTCACCAGGGGCGGCTCAAGTCAAATTGAAGCCTAAAGGGAAAATATTAAATGAAAGCGTTTTTATTTTTAGTATTATTTTTTTAAAAAAAATTAATTTATTTTTAATTTTCTATGTAAGAGGAAGACAAAAGAAGGATGTGTTAATATTGTCGAGAAAGATATTTCCACTTCTGTTTTTGTTTTTTACCACAGAGTGAGAAAGAGTGTTTAATTTCAACTTTTGTTTTTATTTTTTATTTTTTTTTACTAGAGGGAGAGAGAGAAAGTGGGTGAAAGTAAATATAACTTTTGAGTATTTTTTTATTTTTGTAATTTCTAAGTTTTTAATGTTATGAATTAGATTATAGGCTCAAATTATTGCAATAAAAATTTTGATTGGATTTAATTTTTTTGAAAATTTTTTATAGGGTTTAAAATTTAATAGATTTAATTTTTGTACACTAGTAATGTACCTAAAATTATGGGGCCTTCTAAAAATTTGAGACCTAAAGCCCATGCTTTTTTTCCCATACTGTTGGGCCGACATTGTATGTCACTCATGTTGTTTTCATAGAGCATATTCCCTTCTTTTTTATTCCGTCTACTTTTTCACATTTACATAAATCTGATCTTATTTACATTGCTACATTTCTAGTTAATGTTCCAATTGACACGTATGTTCGTGACATGACTGTCTCTGATGTGCCTTCTTTTTCTGATTTGTCTGTTATTGGTCCTCCTATTGTACATACCTATGCTCGCGGGACTCAACTATCTCCTTGACAAATGAAGAGCCTCCCTACCCCTCTACTGTCACTCAATCAGATTATAATGATATGTGAATTATGTCCTTCACTAACCTCAGCCAACTCGTAAGTGTCTAGATCGGTTTCGTTTCTCTAATTTTTGTTCTTTCTTAGTTTCTATCCATTCTATTTCTGAACCTACCTCCTATAAGGAGGTTGTTCTTAATCCTCTTTAGAAACAGACTATCAATGAGGAACATTCTGCTTTTCATAAAACTGTGACTTGGGAGCTAATGTCATTACCCTATGGCAAACACATGGTCGTTGTAAGTGGATTTACAAAATTAAGACCAAATCTGATAGTTTTGTGGAACGATACAAGAACCGATTGATAGCAAAATGATTGCCCAAGAGTATGACATCGATTATAAAGAGACATTTGCTCCTGTTACTAAGATGACCACTGTTCGCAATATGATTTCAATGGTTGCTATTCGCCAAGGGAGTCTCTCTCAGAAAGATGTGAAAAATGTCTTTCTTAATGGCGATTTGACTTAAAAAGTATTTAATGACTCCTCCCGAATTGTCTCATAACCTTGGTCAGGTGTGCAAACTTCACCGGGCATTATATGGCCTTAAAAAGGCTCTCAGGTCATGGATTGACAAATTTTCTTTTATCATATATAACTTGGGTTTTCCTACTAGTGACCATGATTGGTATCTTTTTGTGATCTTCTCCCTCACGTTCTATATCACTTTTATTATATGTTGATGTTATGATCCTTATCAATGATGACAATGCTGGTATTTTATTGTTGAAGAACCAGTTGCAAGACCATTTTGAAATAAAGGATTTGGGCCAGCTTCGGTACTTCTTGGGTATTAAGGTTACTTCTTCTCCCAAGAGTTATCTACTCACTCAATTCAAATATGCCTTGGATAGTATACATCAAGCTCGTCTATCAGATACTCGGATCGTTACACACCCTTAGAGCTTAATGTTCATTACTCTTTTTTGAAAGATATCCCATTGCCTGATCCAATGCTATATCACACTATTGTTCGCATTTTTGTATATCTTACGATTCATTGCCTAGACATCTCTTATGCAGTTCACATTGTCAGTCAGTTTGTTGCTCACTTACCACAATTCACTAGGCTACTGATCCACATTTTTCAAAATTTTTATGGTATACTGCATCAAAATCTATTATTATCTTTTTCTTCTTTGTTGAACCTCAAAGCTTATTATGATGCTAATTGTGTTGGCGACTCTATAGATCATAAGTCCACCACTAGCGTCTATCTCTTACTTAATGATTCCCTCATTTCTTAGGAGAGCAAAAATACAAACTATCGTTGCTCGTTCTTCTACTAAGGTCGAGTATCGTGTTATGGCTTCCACCACAGCTGAGATTGTTTGTTTACATTGATTACTTACTGATCTTGACATCTCTTTATCTAATCTGACACTATTGTAATATGACAACACAAGTGTAATTTAGCTAACACACAATTCAATATTTTATGAGCGTACAAAGTAGAGTTCTTTAGAGACTCTCATATTATTATACACTTCCGTTTTCTTCTTGACAAACTCTTGATATTGTTTGCTACCACATCATGAATTTGAGCAGGAGATTTAATAACAACACACGGCAAAAAGCAAAAAGCAAAAAAAGGGTGGTGGTAGTGGGAGCACCAAGGATATATGTACGATATGGTAATAATATAGAATAACTTGTCATACAATAGCAATATTACATGTGATGCAAAAATAACTACTTAAGTTATCAACAAAACAAGACCAACACAAACTTAGACAATACTTTCCGCTGGATTTCCAAAAGATCACAAAGCCAAAAAAGGAAGAATTGTTTTTAAAAGCATAAAAAATGTGTACAATAGAAAAAAATTCACATATAAAGCTTGGGAATGGTATCTAGGTTGACAAAAAAATAAGGAAGTGAAAGTTCTAAACTACTTTAAGATCCCATCTTACTTTGATTTGTGGATTCTAAGTGATTTCACTGTCTGGTCCCTATATTTATTTTGCTGACAAGTGACAATATTATATGAAGGTATAAAAGGTATTTCACTTATCCCAAGGGAGGATAAAGAGGAAAAATCCCTCTTGCTTAATATATAGCAATAGATATACTTACTGAGTTAGTGTGGTTATTTATAGATTAAAAGTCCCATATTGTCATCAATACCAAATTTTAAGCAGCCAATACAAATTCCATTGGCTGGAATTGCTCATAAATAGTCACTAGATGCGAACTTTCAATGGCCCACCTTGTATTACCTCAAGCTTCCATCAATAACAATTAATATAATCAAATTCAAGAAAGTTGCAGAACAACACAATACCTGGGCAGTCGAAAACTAAATAATCATCATCCATGTAGTTCTCCAACTCTTCTGTTAACCAGTCATCCAAATTCTCTTCAAGGTGCCTAAGCATCAAGATGTAAGGGGCAGCACAAAATTTTGGGTCCACAAATCAGAAAAGAAAATAGTAGTAATGAACTTAGAAAAAGATACCAATAGACGATTGTTGTTTAATACTATTGGTAGGCTGTGGAGGGATTTACAACAAAATTAAACTGTTTTCCACTCACTTTGAAATCTCAAATCCCTTTCAAATATCAACATACTCCCTTCGTTCTTAAATATCTGTCGTTTAAGATTTTTGCGCAGAAATTAAAGAAACTATTAAATAGTTGTAATATGAGTAAAAAATAATTACACAAGACTAAAATACCCTTATTCAATACGCATTGGAAAGAAAAGGAATATAAAAGACGTTTACCGTCCACCTAATCTAATGTATTGAAAAGTTAAGGGTAAATTTGGAAGAAAAAATATTAATTATGATTTGGTTTCATTAAACGACAGATATTATGGAACAAATAAAAATGTGTAAAACGACAGATATTTAAGAACGGAGGGAGTAATAAATAGTCCACAGTGTGCCATGAGTCAACAACAACATTTAAGTAATGTCAAAATTGTCTCACGACAACTGTGTCAAATGGATTTACTAACTACATCATATATAAGAAGTGGGACAAACAAAAGACTATACAAATATTAAAACCCAAGCCGAAAGGATACTCCATGCAGTACATAAGACCACCATTCGGACCAAGTCCAAGTTCCTCCATAACATCATCCAAAGAAATAAGTTCTCTAATATCTGCAAGAAATTTAATGCTTCACTATAAAATTGAGAGGACTTATATCAACAAAACTTAAGCACTAGTCAAAAAATTAGTGAACTATACTTACCCATCGCCACTGGATAGTCGAAGTTTTCTGCAGCAGGATCTAAGTTTACAATATGAATGGTGCGCCGCATGGTTTCACAATGTTGGTACAAACTAGAGCAATAAGTAGACTGATACAAAAAAAATAAGGTACTCATATCTTAAAGAATATGTTGGCGACTGTAGAAAATCTTCCCTTTTTAAACTACCATATGCAGATATAAAGAAACACTTGTCAAGTCAATTCTTCAAATACGAAGTAAGGACATAGAGATAGCATAAATAAGCAATAAATTTTAGCCATTCACCTTTCCACTGCCAGCAGGACCAATAACTAGCTGTGCGTAGCCCATGATAGCCTTGTCCTTAATAAAGTTTTAATTTCTCTTTTCTTTGTCAAAGTGCTTTATCAGGCAGGATGGGCGAACGAAGAAAATTAAAGATTTGAAAGAAACCAAGAACTGCAACTAAAGCATATGTAGCACACCAAACACCAGCTGCGAACAACAAACTCAGTGCATCAGAGTAGCCCATAAGCACTGGTCAGCAAGGGACAACATTACAATACCACCTGCATCACCAATATCAAAAGAACATGAAAAAACTCTTGAACATCATTTTTTGGTAACAAACGGTCTATGCGTAATGGAATGTATGATCAAACAGTCGAAGGATGAAATGGAATGTACAAGCAACTTTCAATCACCTTAGCAACAAGAATCAGCATTTTGAACTGTAGCATCAGCCATAAATGAATCAATGGAACAACTAAACCAGAATAAAAAGCAAAAGGCAGCAAGGTAGACAAATGCCTGTCATAAGATTTTGCTTAAATCTCCAAGCAATTTGGGGGTGGTGGTTGAATATTTGGGTTCGAGTAGGGTGGGTGGAGGGTTAGGTTGGGGGTGGATGGGGGGTTCAACGGTGGAGGATGGGCGAGTGAGAGACAGAGAAAGGTAATGAGAGAGAGAGAGAGAGAGAGAGAATTAGAAAGAGTCTTTGGGCGTCGCTGGAGTCGCTTGGGGTAAAAGCAGTGGTGTGGCTGTGGGTTGGGGTTCTGCGGTGAAGGATGGGCGAGTGAGAGGGAGATATATACCTTCGCTAGGGGCTCGCTGGCGTCACTGGGTGTTGGAGGGTCGTTGCCGTCGATGGTGGATTGGAGCAAGGAAAAGATTACAAAAAAGGAAATAAAATTTGCTAGGTACATCAAAAGTTCTCGTCCCTGATATATGGCTTTCCAAAACACCGATTACAAGATGTCAAATAGTCTCTCACCATTTACCATACCTTTTGAGCAAGAAGAAAACATAGCCACAGACGGGATACATAAAATACATAAATATACAGACATACAGATAGGGAGAGAGAGAGAGACGTACCATAGACAATCGCGAGAGAGCGATGATGCTGAGGAGGATTGAAATTGGCTTGCAAATATTCTAGACTTTTCGACAACTCCATAAAAAGCTATTCGCGTTATCGGTCAAAGGGGAAAGCGGAAAGGCTTAGTGGGCCTCACATAGGGCTTTTTTTGAGTTGGGCCTATAAGAAAGCAGCTCGAGGTGGGCTTTGGGCTTCAGATGGTTTGAAGCCCGAATTTGAGTGTGGGTCGGTTTAGCTCTCTACAATTACAATTATCCCGTTGTAGTCCTCTTCTTCTCCGGCGAAGGCATAGCGGATTTCAGGTAACTGTGCAAATAAATTTTGCCCTAGTTTCTGAAATCTCTCTCTCTCTCTCTCTCTCTCTCTCTCTCTCTCTGCATATAACCTGGATTAAGGTGTTTTGTGGAAAACATTTGATATATACAGAGATAGAATGGTGCAGTTGTTTTTATCTGAACCAGCCTGGAGCGACGATGGAGATGACGAATCGATTGGGCAGAGAATATCACTCTTGCATGATATGGAGTCTGCTATCTGGTCGTTGATGTCCTCTGGTGGAGGTCGATCTGAGGCGCGTTTATGGCTTTGTAAAACTCTTTCAGGCATAAGTTCTGTCTCTCCTCGCCATCAACGTGAGCTTTTTGTGAAACTGTTGAGATCTAAACCACTTAAGCGGGGCCTAGCAGCTCAAGTTTTGCAGATGATCTTTGAGAGGCTGCCACACAAAGCAGGGCCTTTATTAGCGAAGAGAAGCCACGTGTTGGAGAATTTCTTTAGAGGCAAGTTAGTTGTTCACATTTCCCATCGAAAAAAAGTTAGTTGTTCACATCGTAGATTCAGTTTATGCTCGGAAAATTTGAGATATTGTGGATTCGATCTACTTCTTGCAGCTCCATTTCAATCCTCTTCTGTTTCTCATCTAAGTTTCTTGTACATCTTTGTTTTAGATATCTGGTTTGCCCCTTGTTTTGAAAATTGTAGAATTTCTTTACTAGTGGCATGCTAGTAATCATTAGAGGTTGGATCGGTGGACTACCATTTAAAGAGTTTCTAAGACGTTCTTTTGTGCCCTAATTGTTGAATAATGCAGGAAATCCAAGACGCATCTTGCAGTGGTTCTCCAATTTCTCCGGTAGTGGTGATATGGGGCACAGAAAGGGGGCTAAAGCATTATCCCAGTTTGCTTTTGTTAATCGAGACATTTGTTGGGATGAGCTTGTGTGGAAAGGAAAACATGGGCAATCACCTGCCATGGTTGCTACAAAACCTCATTACTTTCTTGATTTGGATGTCCAACGAACAGTTGAGAATTTTCTTGAATATGTGCCTGAATTTTGGACATCGAATGAGTTTGCTGATTCATTGAAAAATGGTGAGATTTTGTCCATTGATACAAAATTCTTTGTAGATTTGTTTTTTGACTTGATCTATAAAGAAGAACTGAAAGAAGCATGGGAAGTCATAAATGAGTTTTTGATGGAGGAATCTTTCTCATCTTTATGTCACCACCTTCTTATCATTCTTGAAGAGCAGGACTTGGATGTCTTTCTGGAATGGATTCCTAACTATCTCCACTCAGGGTTTGAATCTATGAATTTTTGTAATTCATCTCGGTGGCTTGAAACTGTACTTTCAATGTCCAGTGGATATGGTTCTATGGATCATCTACTTTTGTTGAATGCTGTTGTTAGTCAAGGTCGCCAGCTTCTGCGGCTTGTACGTGAAGAAGAGAATCAGGAGGAAAAAGTAAAAATCAAGGCTATAGTGTCACAGATTCACACACTCTCTAGCCATGCCAATATTTTGGCCCCAATATTGAAGGAATGCTTCAAGAAAAAAAACATAGAATCGATAAAGTGGTTGGGGCTGCAGACTTGGGCTCTTCACTACAGATTATCAGAGGAATGCCAGACTCCTGAATCCTGGGAAGCGTTGTTTGTTAGCAATGGAATAAGTTTTCGCAAGTCAGACAAGTATGCAGTTTTACATCGTGATGCATTTTTAGAAGAGAGTGGGACTGACTTGAACGAAAGGGCTTCAGTTAGAGTCAAGCACAAGAAGAAAGAAAAACATAGAAAGAGAAGGAGAAGGAACCTTGATTATGATGACAATGAGATGGTGGATTTTGATTTACCCAATAACAGGTTGGTTCTGCAATCTCAGCCCGGTATTTGGTTGCTCTCTACTGATGATTATTCTACTTCATGGAACAGCGTGAGTTCCCCCTTATGCTCATTCTTTGAACATTTCTGCATTTTTTACATCAGCACCTGCACAAGTTTTTGTTCGTATGATATTTCAGTCTTTGTATGTGATTCCTGAGGATGGGATGCTAGTTGTATATATGTATTTTGCCAACCCAGTTACTAAGTTCTCCCTTTTGCGACTAAGTTCTTAAATATCGGAGCATTTTTTGTAATTGGATATGCCATGTTTGAAAGAAAAAAGTGGGAAAAATGAAGAAAGTGCGGGATAAGATTGAATTTGAGGATTGTAGCTGTTTTTTGTTTGTCAGAAATGTGAGCACTTGCCAAATCATCTCTATTTTACTGGTTTGCCCTAAGAATCCATAACTTGATTCCGCGTGAGATTCTTCTTGAATTTATTTCTTCTGAATTGGATCAAGGAAGACCTTGAAAGCTGTAATATATTCAAATATTTTCTTGAGAGAGTGCTACAATCTTTATTTACGAGGCTTGTCTATAGTTCAAGGTGGTAGTATTAGCCATGGCTTGGAGGGTACTGAGGTGATTCAGTTGCGGTGTTGCCAAACCATAGAGGGTGATATGCACTACATAGAATAAGAAGTTGAATATGACGAAGGATTCAGATCTATGTTCCGGTGTTATATTCGGATGACTCAGAGTTGACTTTGATGCATCTCGAATGACTTGACCAAGTTACGTGAAACTGTTGGTTTATTGGACCAGTATTGGATTGAAAGGTGCTGAGTCATATCAATATCTTCCGATACTTTGAACCATGGGCCTATCTTTGATAATGTTGTTTGAATTGGATTTCCCAGTCTTTTCTTTTTGCTTCATTTCACAGTTTTGTTTAATCTGGATACTCTGTGTGTGGGTGTCCAAATATATCACCTTGTCCTAATAATAGAAATTAATTTTTATTTGCAATAGTAGTAGGTTACCTGAGGAAGTATACCATGCTTACAAATTGCATGATCAATATGATGTTTTATAGGTAGATTTGCCGGAACACCTATCAAACCATTGCTTTTCTACGTGGATGAGGTGGGTTTTCTCCAACTGGCAAGACATGGATTGAGATAAACTTCTTGTCCAAATTCATTTGCGGTAGACAAGGTATTGTTACCTTTTCTAATTCACAATGTGATGGAAGAATTTCAATGTTTAGGAATTAACTCTTAATCTTCTACTTTGACCGGTTTCCCATTTTTATCATAGATGATCTGGATGAACTTTGGAGAAATGGAGAGTTCTAGCTGTGCAGTGCTGATGGTGATACTTTGGCATTTGATATCATTTCAGAGGCTCAAGATATGATATTGGATCGAAGCCATTGTACAGATGTCCATACCTATTCTCTGTTCCTGCAAACCTTGGATATCTCATCGAAGGTATGGAACCCATTAAATGCTGCGAATGCATGCTTTTAAACTGTTTGACATCTTGGACTGCTAAACTTAACTGTCTGACTGATGAAAAATGATGCCGGTCTACAGGATGATGCTTTAAGCTTCATGCTTCACAGACTTGCATGAGCATGTTTGTTTTGTGGGTGCCATACGGAGCTTTGCTTCTTCTGTTTAATAGATGATGCCTTTTGGCTTCTGACAGCTCGTTACCCGACCATGTTATGAACGAGTTTCTTAAGTTCTGGATTTCGTTGGCAGTTACTGATGAGAAGAGTTTACTTTGCACTTTCTGGTGGACATGAACTTGCGAGACCTCTTATTTCTATTTTGCCTCTGCCATGCTTATTATGTTATTCTGTACCCAACCAATTCTCGAATGTGATGAGGAGGGTTCAAGTGTTTGACGTCTTCATTACTTGCAAAAATCCGTTTTCATGATTTGAATCCGGGATGTATATGTTATAGGGGAACAACTTCACCAGTACATCTAAACTTGCCTCTGGTTTGGGTTAGTGTAAACACGTAGAAACGGAAAGAGAGCTTCCAGTGTATCTCCTACTTTACGTTTCACCTGCATAAGTGGAACATGTAACCCGAAGGTATGCAGTTACCATTTGTGAAACGTCTACAATGGTCATTTTTCTCATGGAAGTTCACTATCAATCTATTGATTCAAACCACTATTAAGCGAAAACTCATTCATATACCGGGGAGGGTGCATGGGAAAAGGAATAGCTCCACAGAGCGGGGCCACAAATCATCTGAAAGTTTAAGTGGTTTTAACTTTAAAACTTATTCACGAGTTCGTCCAACAACTTGACAAGTTAATAAACAGTTAAACGTTCTTCGGTATGACAGATAAATGTCATAACAATAATCAGTGTAACTCATGCTTTTTGTCTTGTATTAAGGCATTAGCCGATCCAGAGAAGCAACCTCCATAGCCTACACCCCGATAATATCTCAGAGCGCTTCATCTTGAGGGAACCATGAAACTGCAGACTCACTGTTTTTGAGCCCTGCAAGAAGAACAGATGGTAATCAAATATGGTAAATGCTATATTACAGTTTTTTTATTGAAGTATTTTTTATAAAGTCAAACTAATATTATTTAGTTCAAGTAGATTAGTTTAACCAGCCCACTTGATACTGCCAATAGATACACAGACCACAAATGCGGACTAATGATGAAAAACCTTATTAAAAAAATGGTTTGAAGGACACAAGCATATCATAAATGACATACAAAACTGGATAGACTTGAATCAAAAGCAAGTGTAGATTTGAATCAAAAGCATGTGTAACTCATAGGAAGTTTGCAACTCCAAATAACAGCACATATGTGCAATGGGTTCCAAAAAATTTAACCTCTAAAAGGGGGCCACTATTCCACCCTTTGCAAGCAATTAATTGATTGGGCTATCTTTCACCATCCTCTAATCATTCAGTGAAATTGAAATTCAGCTCATACTGTTCAATAGGTGAAACGTCATTCAGATAGAGAAGTCTGACGTCCCAAGTAGGTCATAATTAGTCAGAAATGTACCCTTTGTATGTGAGCCATTAGTTCCACAATTTAACACAACTATAAGGTCATGTCTAATATAATAGCATAATTGAAACAGAAAATATACAAACTTACCCAATGAAACTTGTGCTGGCAAGCTGACATATTTTGGACAGGAGCTTTTGGAATAATTCACATCACTTTGAATGCTAGATGTAGTCACACAATCTCGAGGCTGCAAGAAAATTGTTTGGTGACAATAGGCCATGATGTTTCTACAAGAGAAGAGAATGTAGAAAGGATGATCTGCAACAATAAACTATGCAAGGTTCAAGGGTTTATCAAAAACTTTCCATCCAAAAATATCCATGATGGCATCCCATAATGATGAACCGTTGACCTCTAACATAAATATTGCGCAGAAAACATCACCATTGGTGACATTCTTTATATCATTAAATGGCTGGAGTCCAGACAGATATGCACAATGTACTATTGATCCACATCGATTTGTGTACCAAGAATAACGTGAGTTTGTGAATGTTCTTTTAGGTCCACAAACTCAACTCACGTTCACTGATTCAAGTTAGTTCAATATAAAACCTAACCATCCAAACTTGTCTGAATGTCTTAGAAAATATGAAGAGGTGATTACTAAGATGAAAAGGAGAAAAAGGCTTCGTTAAATTGACTGGCAGAAGAGAATCGTCAAGCAAACATTAAAGTGCTCAAGTCATTTTTTCGATGAATGTGAACAGTAGATTAGATTAAGTAGCAGTAAAGGAAGATTCTAACCGTGAAATCCTTATAGAAGCATAAATTGAGTTCCTCCACAGCACCTTTTGAGCAACTCAGTGAAGGGGTTGCATGGAAAGCATTTTGAATGGCAGAAATAATTCCTCCTAGAGGATACTTTTCAGAATTTGAAGGTACATATCCAGCTTCATTCAAAACTGCCTGGAGTCATATGTTGAATGAAATGATTATTGGTCAGATAAACAAAGCAACTAAAATTTTCTAGTGAATATTTTCAAGATGTCCAAGCAGGATAAAAATGTCCTTAAGACCAAACACATATCATTACAACAATGATGTACGATGGTATAGGAAAACTGGTTCATGCTGCATGTGATTGGATATGGGGGTGGTTGTATATCTTTAAACGGGTTCTAGGCTCAGAATTTTGCAATATAGATGGCAGGATCCAGGGTTTACTGATTAAAAAGAGGCTGTATTGACTTTGGTTTGTTGCTGAGTTTTGAAGAAGGCACATGGAATTGTAGACAACGAGAAATTTAGGGTTATTGTAGGCATTGAATATCCAAAGGCTAGGGTAATGTATTGGGCATATCAGGGTTTGATATGTAAGGTGTCCGGCCAGAAATAAGAGCAGTAATCCGAGAATCGTACTTTGGTCACTCTTCAATTTCATTTCCAACATTAGAATGAACTAAGAACAATGAAAATGGTCACTTTAGGCATATAAAAAGGCAGGCAGCACAGCACATGAAGCACGGGGTCTGAGGAGGGTCAGATATGTATATGCAGTCTTACCTTCAGATGTGGAAAGGTTGTTTATGTGCAGTCTTATCCCACATGCAGGGTCTGAAGAAGATCAAATGTAACCCAGATTTAACTAATATTACATTCCACATATTTCCATCTTTAAAGCACTTTGATCGCAATTTAAAATCAGAACATCTCAAATCTAAATAAAGTAACTCATCAAATTTTAAAGTATTCCGTGCCACGGGCTTCATGATTTGTGAATTATATCAACAAGGAGAAGCAACAGAAAATGATTCTTTGAAGATACACAAACTAATAATATATTCTAGAAGTGCCAGCTATAAGCGCCTTAACACCGTGGATCAACTGCAAATTTTAAATTGGTATTGATATGTTTTGTGTGTATTTTATAACACAATAAAGTGATAAAATTGAAAACCCATCTAGGCCTACATAGATTTTGCACAACAAACATGTAACTGCGCAGAAATCTTCCCATTACTTCCATTAATTCCAAGCTAGATTTTATCAAGGTACTCACTACCAGAACGAAGTCATTCAAGACACATTGGCGGACCACACCAAGTTCCATTTATAAGATAAAATCACTTTCTTAAAACATCTCGAGGATCAAAGCCTGCATGAGGCAATTAATATACAAACAAGGAATTTTAATGCATACTGGGAGCAACTGGCAAACACAAGAAACAAGGAGACAATATAAACAGCATTATCTACATTTTATAAATCTTATGCGACAATAGCTTAGTCAGAAAAGAATTGCAAGTGCACAATAACTGCACCTATTCTTACCGTGACATTATATTTGAAGTAGACGTTGAGGGTTGTCAAAAAATAACTGTACTCATCTTGAACAACAGGAAAGGAACAAGTCCCATGCTTTTCTGCAGATAAAAGTGCACAGAGAGAAAGTATATGATCAGGATGGAGAGACATAATATTTGCATGCGAAACAATGTATTTTACAGCCACAAAAAGCCACTAGCCAAAATTCAATCAAATTGTTGGTTTATACACTAGAACTACTATAATTTGTGTACAGCAGCCAATGCCTTACAAACCTTAAGAGAATTCCTTGCATTAGATCATCATTGCAATCTGATTAGCAGACTAAATAAACATATTCTTAAAAGGGAAACTAAAATCATCTTTGACAATGATGGAACGATCACTAAAGCATGGCCACTACTAGAAACAATGATACCACACATCAATGTGCATTGTGCATGTCGAGTGCAAAAGTACTTGGTGTCACAGATTATCAGAACTAGTCCAAGTATACAGCACGCTTTCACTCTGTTAAGAGTATTGGGGTATTGTGTGTAGATTGTTAATAGTTTTAGGGGACTATGTGTAAATACAAGAGGATGTATGTGTAATTCTTATATTATGAGTTAACTATAAATACAAGTGATTTTGTGAGAGTAGGTTGGGTTTTGACCGCTCTCCGTCTTTCTCTAATATTGAGTTTATTCTCTAAACTTAACATGGTATCAGAGCAATACAATTCTAAATACAAATATTAGTATTAGTCTGTGTTTTTGTTGTAGAAATTACTTGGCTTGGTGACGTTACTGTTGAGGTAGTGTCACTGTGCTGATGTCGGAGTTTCGGCGTCGTGGTAGTGTTACACAGTGGTTGTGATACTCTGTGGTGGTGGTGGTACAACGTCTGGGGTGGAGATTTCGGCTATAAGGTGTTGTTGACTTAGGTGCCTGTGAGTTGATCGTGGTGGTGTGCCTGTGAGTCAATCGTGGCTATTGAGTCGATTGTCGACGTTGGTGGCCTCTGCGGTGGTTACTGTGGTGGTGTGGTTGCTGTGGTGTTATGGTGGTGTTGTGGTGGTGGCTGCTGTACAAGGTTCTCTTGAAACCCTAATCTGAAGAAGACGAAGTCCATTGGGGTTGGTTGTGGGTCGGTTCCAGTCCAAGACCCGGTCCAGCCCAAGATCCAAACCAAAACCAATCTAGCCCAAGACTCAGACCAGACCAGATCAATTCAAGGCCGGTTCAGTCCATTCTAGGCCGGTTCAGTCCCGGTTTGGTCCACTCTAGGCCAGTTCAGTCCCAGTTTAGTTAGTTTGGCACCGGTTCCAACAACTTTCCCTCCGGTTCAGCGATCCAGTTTATCTTTTCTGGCCGGTTCAGCAGTCCAACAAGGTTTTTCAGTCCAGTTCAGCGGTCCAGCGAGGCCCTTCAGTTCGATTCAGTTATCCAGTGGTCTTCTCTTATCTATTCAGAAGTCCAGTTGTTTCCTCTTACTCCGTTCAGGTGTCCAGCAATCAAGTTGCCTTTTTTTTTTTTTACTATTTGCTTGCTCTGTTTAGTCATCCGGCAGTAAGGTTGCTCCTATTTTTGCTATCTGCTATATTATTATGGAACCTAAGCAAGATGCTATTGCTCCATCTTTGCCACCTACTTCTCCAGTTCTTATTAATGGTCCCATGACTTCCGTTAAACTTAATGGGACCAATTATACTTTATGGTCCCATTCCGTTCAAGTCTTTCTTCGAGGCAAAGGTTTTAAGAAATATTTGGTTAATCCCAAACCTAAGGAAGATACTTCTGGATATGATCAGTGGGAACAAGAGAATGCTTAAATTATCTCTTTACTGTTGAATAGCATTGAGCCGAGTATTAGTTCTACACTGCTTTACCTTGACACTGCCAAAGAGATATGGGATCACTTGGCTACTATGTATTCTGGCACAGGTAATTTTACTCGTGCTTATGAGGTGTGCAAGCAATACTTCCAGCTGGATCAAGGTATTCTGAGTCTTAAGGATTATTACTCCCACGTTCGGGGAGTCTGTGAGGAGTTGAAGCTCTACCATCCATTCACTACTGATGTAGCAGTTTGGCAGAAGCAACATGAGAATTTGGATATTGTTAGATTTTTAATAGGATTGAAACCTGAATATGAAGCTATCCGTTCTCAGATTTTGGGTAGTTCTAGTCTTCCCTCTCTACTTAAGGTTTTTTCTCATTTACAGTGTGCTACTCTGTCTACTCCTTCAGGTATTGATCATGGTGTCTCCACTGATCGTTCAGCTCTTGTGGTTCCTAGTAGCCACAGTGATGGTCACTGAGGTGGTCATGGTAATCGTGGTGGTCATGGAGGTCGTACGAGTGGTCGTGGAGGCCGTAGTGGACCTCGTTCTTATACTCACTGTGGTCGTGGAGGGCATACTGTTGACTTCTATTGGGATTTACATGGAAAACCTTCTGGTGCTACTAATCAGGCCTCTTATCAAGATGATACCTCAGTTGTTGCTTCCGTACCTCGGTTAGCTCCACCAGACACTGGGCCAGTTACTATTACACTAGGTCGAGAAGAGTATGCCCAGTTCCTGTCCCAACAATAGGCTATTCCATCTCCCTCCACTACTATTTTTGCCCAGTCAGGTACTACTTTCACTTGTTTATTGTCCTCTACCCGCAGTCCCTGGATTGTAGACTTTGGCGCTTCTGACCAAATGACTTGTGCGTCTGATGTTTTTTCTACTTCTCAGTCTACTACTTCCACACGTAGTGTTACTCTTGCTAATGATACTTATTCTAAAGTTTCAGGTCTAGGGACTACTCACTTGAGTCCTGATATGTCTCTATCATCCGTTTTATTTGTTCCTCAGTTTCCTTTTAGTTTACTTTCCATTAGTAAAATTACTCGTTCTTTCAATTGTTCTATAACCTTTTATCCCTCTTATTATGTCTTTCAGGATCTCAGGACGAAGAGGAAGATTGGTATGAGGCATGAAACCGGTGGCCTATATTACTTTGATTTTGATTCACCTACTCAGGTTCTACAGACCTCGTTGTCTCCTTTTCAATGACATTGTCGTCTTGAAAATCCCTCTATCCAGAATCTGAAGCACCAAGTTCCCAGTCTTAATTGTGTGTCATCTTTGTCTTGTAAAGCTTGTCAACTTAGTAAGCATCACCGTGTGTCATTTCAGTCTAGAGTCAATAATCGTGTGTCCAATCCATTTGAGTTGGTCTATTCTGATGTATAGGGTCTAATAAAGAATATTTCATCTAATAAAAAATATTTCATTTAATAAATATCCTTATTTTGTGTCATTTATAGATAATTATTCTCGTGTGACATGGTTGTTTATGATGAAAGTTCGTTCTGAATTATTCTCTTTATTTGAGACCTTTCACAATGAAATAAAAACTCAAAATGGTTGTCGTATACGTATTTTACGTTCTGATAATACTCGAAAATATGAATCTGATTCTTTTTCAGCTTATCTTAGTAAAACTGGCATTATCCATCAGATTTCTTGTGCATACACCTCTCCACAGAATGGTGTTGCTGAACACAAGAACCGTCATTTGTTGGAAGTGACCCGTACACTGTTATTCCAGATGAATATTCTCCGATATTTTTGAAGTAATGCTATTCTCACTGCTTGTTATCTTATTAATCGTATGTCATCATCTGTGTTAAATGGACAAGTCCATATTGTGTCCTTTTTCCTGGTAAGCCCTTATTCTCCTTAACTCCTAAGATTTTTGGGTGTGTCTGTTATGTTCACAACTTGGGCCCTGGGTTTGATAAACCTGACCCTCGGACTACCAAATGTGTATTTCTTGGATACTCTCGCACACAAAAGAGGTATCGTTGCTATAGTCCTTCACTAAGACGGTACTTTACTAGTGCCGATGTCACATTTGAGGAATCTATTCCATTTTTTCTGGCACTTGCTCAGCCTTTGGATCTAGACTTTGGGACATCTCTTGTATCACCATCTCTTCCCTCACCATCAGACATTTTGTTGCCCACTGTGTCACCATCCACTTTACCTCTTCGTGTATACTCTCGTCGTCCTCGTCCATCGCCTGAGGTGCCTGTACTGTCTTCCTTGCCGTCTGCTGATCCTGGTACAACAAGTAATTTAGATTCTTTACCTATTGTTCTTCGCAAAGGTACTCGTTCATGTGTTACTAATTATCCTATTGCTCATTTTATTTCATATGATGCCTTGTCTCCTGTCTTCTCTTATTTTACCTCTCAATTATCTACTATTTCTATTCCTAAGCACTTACAGGATGCGTTATCTAATTCGGGTTGGAGGCAAGCTATGGAGGAGGAGATGGATGTCTTACATCATAATAGGACTTGGGATCTTGTTCCTTTACCCTGGTAAATGAACTGTTGGTTATCGTTGGATGTATACTGTTAAATTTCATTCGGATGATTCTGTGGAGCGTCTCAAAACTCGGCTTGTTGCAAAGGGATTTACTCAGACTTATGGTGTTGATTATGAGACTTTCTCTCCTGCTGCCAAAATTTCCTCTGTTCGAATTTTGATTTCTTTGGTTTCTAATCTTGATTGACCTTTGTTTCAGTTGGATGTCAAGAATGTCTTTCTACATGGTGACTTGGTTGAAGAGGTATATATGGAGCAGCCACATGGATTTACTGCTCAGGGGGGGTACAGGAGTGTATGTCAGTTAAAGAAATCTTTATATGGTTTGAAGCAGTCACCGAAGACATGCTTTGGTAAGTTTTCAGATGCAATTTTAGAATTTGGTCTTCTTCGATGTCAGACAGACCATTCTGTGTTTCATAGACAGACGGATGCTGGATATGTTCTATTGGTGGTCTATGTAGATGATATTGTGATTACTAGAAATGATTCAAAGAGGATTGTCAAGTTAAAAACCTTCCTGCAAGATCAATTTCATACGAAGGACTTGGAAAAACTCAAGTATTTTTTGGTATTGAGGTAGCTCGATCTAAACAGGGTATTTATTTATCTCAGAGAAAATATATACTTGACATGCTAGAGAAAGCAGGTTTGCTGGGAGGCAGACCGATTGATGTTCCTATGGATTCGAATCAGAAACTGTTGATGGATGATGGTGCACTTTTTGAGAATCTGGGTCAGTATCGCAGATTGGTTGGGAAGCTCAATTATCTCACTATTACTCGACCAGATATTTCTCATGCAGTCAGTATAGTAAGTCAGTTTATGGGGTGTCCTAGAGTACCACATTGGGAGGCAGTTACTCGTATTCTCCGATATCTCAAACGTGCTCCTGGCCTTAGATTGTTATATCGAGC